TTTGGGCTCAGGGACTGGAGAATTGGAAGTAGCACGTGTGTCGCTTTAAGCCACTAAGTTTGTAATATCAATAAGGGCAGCAAGGGAAAACCAACAGAGCCTGTAGCGTGGCTGAGCCCTCCCCCAGTTCTCCACAAGAATTGAAAGAAACTAGCCGGGTGCCGGTGGCTCCCGCCTGTAATCCTAACTTACTCAGGAGGCTGAGATCTGAGGATCACAGTTCAAAGCCAGCCCAGGCCGGAAAGTCCCTGAGACTCTTATCTCCAATAAACCACTAGAAAAAAAAAACAAAAAACTGGAAGTGGCGCTGTGGCTCAAGTGGTAGAGTGCTTGCCTTGAGCTGAAGAGCTGAGGGACAGTGCCCAGGCCCAGAGTTCAAGCCCCATGACTGACAAAAAATAAAAGAAAAAAGAAAGCTGACTCTATGCTGGGTGCCAGTGGCTCACACCTGTAATCCTAGCTACTCAGGAGGCTGAGTTCTGAGGATGGCGGTTCAAAGCCAGCCCGGGCAGGAAAGACCGTAAGACTCCTATCTCCAATAAACCACCAGAAAACCGGAAGTGGCATTGTAGCTCAAGTGGTAGAGTGCTCGCCTTGAGCTGAAGAGCTGAGGGACAGCGCCCAGGCCCAGAGTTCAAACCCCACGAGTGACAAAAAAAAAAAAGAAAGAAAGAAAGAAAAGAAAGCTGACTCTGCCAGGCACTGTGGCTCACACCTGTAATCCTAGCAACTTAGGAGGCTGAGATATGAGGATCTCCATTTGAAGCCAGCCTGGGCAGAAAAGTCTGGAGTCTTTTTTTTTTTTGCCAGTCGTGGGGCTTGAACTCTGGGCCCGAGTGCTGTCCCTGAGCTCTTTAGCTCAAGGTGAGCGCTCTACCACTTGAGCTACAGTTCCACTTCCTGTTTTCTGGTGGTTTATTGGAGATAAGAGTTTCATGGACTTTCTTGCCCGGGCTGGCTTTGAACCATGATCCTTAGATCTCAGCCTCCTGAGTAGCTAGGATTACAGGTGTGAGCCACTAGCGCCCGGCTCGTGAGAGTCTTAACTCCAATTAACCACAAAACAATCAGAAATACAGCTGTGGCCCAAGCAGTAGAACACTAGCATTGAGCATGAAAGTGAAGGGACAGTGCCCTAGCCCTGAGTTCAAGCTTCAGCACTGGCATCAAAAAAAGAGAGAAAGAAAGAGACAGAGTCAGGCACCAGTGGCTCACGCCTGTAATCCTCGCTACTCAGGAGGCTGAGATCTGAGGATCATGGTTCAAAGCCAACCCGGGCAGGAAAAGCCATGAAACCCTTATCTCCAATGAAGCACCAGAAAATTGGAAGTGGCGCTGTGGCTCAAGTGGTAGAACGTTTGCCTTAGCTGAAGAGCTGAGGGACAGCGCCCAGGCCCAGAGTTCAAGCCCCACGACAGGCCAAAAAAAAGGTTCTGGGTGCTGGTGGCTCATGCCTGTCATCCTAGTTATTCAGGAAGCTGAGATCTTAAGATCACAGTTCACAGCCAGCCAGGCAGGAATGTCTGTGAGACTCTTACCTCCACTAAAAAACTTACAAAAAAAAAAAAAAAAGAAGTGGAGCTATGGCTCAGAGTGGCAGAGTACCAGCCTTGAATGAAAAGGCTAAGAGAGAAGGAAGAGTCCTGAGTTCAAGTCCCAGTATATGCTGGCACAAAATCAAACAGAAAACATAAAAAATGCCTTTAAGTATAGAACAAAAGAAAAGAGGGGCTGGGAAGGTGGCTCAGTGGTAGAGCGCTTGCCTTGCATGCATGAGGCCCTGGGTTCGATTCCTCAGTACCACATAAGCAGAAAAAGCCAGAAGTGGGGCTTAGGCTCAAGTGGTAGAGCACTAGTCTACAGCTGAAGAGCTGATGGACAGCGCCCAGGCCCAGAGTTCAGACCCCACAAATGACAAAAGAAAGAGAGAGAGAGGGAGGGAGGGAGGGAGGAAGGAAGGAAGGACAAAGAAAAGAAAAGCAAAGGCCTGTAGTGTACAGAGGTCAGTGAGGTGGGAGGGTGGGGTTGGGCACTGAGTTCCCTTTGGCAGGCTTGCTTGTGCACACCTGGGCACAGTGCATAGTTTCAGGGGCTGAGTGAATTCTCATGGGCAGCCATAGAACAAGAGGCTGAGGCCGGAGGGTCACAGGAGGTGGAGGCCACAGTGAGAAAGGAAAGGGAAGAAGGCGGGCTGGAAAGCCTGCAGGCCCCACGGGCAGAGGGGCGCCATCAGGCCAGCGCCTCCCACAGCAAATGGGAAAAGGATTTGGGGAATGATGTCAGAACCCTAAAGAATGATTCTGCTGCTCCTAGATGGGTACAATGCCTCATTTCCTAAAACCCTGGGGGCCATGTCATCGAGGAACCCTGCAACATGGCAGAGTGAGTTGCCAGGGTAATTGTTCTAAAGTGTACAAGCTAAGCATCGCCCACTCCCAGCAGAAGTGGCTCAGGAGATCTTGGGGGGTGGAAGTAGCCCAGCTAACCAAGGTGGAGGGTCATAGACACCGATCACCTAAGTCCCGCTGTGGAGGCAGGGGTGGGGACAGTCAGGGGGCACAGGAGGTACCACCCCACACCTGTGTCCGCAAGTATGACGGTGCACACCTGGGCGGAGCCTAACTCTGTCTAAGGTGAGCTCTTCCAGGACACCAGAGAACTTTCAAGACTCTTGGTTTCTAAGACAAGCTGAGGGGGATCAGGGCAGAGCCACGGGGACTCTTGATGCCTGTAAGAATGTGTAGGTTGTCATAGGAGCAGCCAAGGGGCGTCCTGGCACTTTATAGGAACATTCCGGAAAATCCTCTAGCAGTTCGTTAGCCTTGCTCAGGTCTCTGCCCCAGGCGTGGCTGGTCCACGTCCAAATCACACTCCAAGTGGCAATGAAGTGTTGGCCGGGCCAGAGCCAAGAGGCGCCATGCGTAGCTCTGATTGCCTTAGAGACGGTTGCTCTGGGAAGGGATTTTTAAGATCGCAGACAAGCTTTGGGGAGAAGAGAGAGGAAGAGAAGAGATGGGGACACCTTGGGCCTCAGGGAAGAGACATCCTCCAGAGACTTCCACAGCAGGACCCACCTGCACCATTCTCAGAACTCTTGCCAGCCACCCCTGCTTCAAAGGAAGCAGAGAGCCCCCTGAAGCCACAGCCTCCTTTAGTCTCTGAAGTGATTTCTAGAGCTGGCCTGGTGGGTGCAAAGCACAGACAATGATGGCTTTGCTCCAGGATTTGTTTGGGGTTTTTGTTTGCTTGTTTTAGTGATAGAACTCAGGTCTTAAGCGCTGCCCCTGAGCTTTCTTTGCTCAAGGATGATCCTCAGATCTTGGTCTCCTGAGAAGCTAGGATGACAGGAATGAGGCACTGGTGCCTGACTGGTGGAAGTTTTAGTTGGTTGCATCCTCTGATGCAAACCCCGGGGTGCAGGTTAGCATGTTTCTGTGCTTGGACTCATGGTAGCCATCTCATCCTGCAACTTGCAGAGCTTGTTTTCTAAACTGTTCTCATATGGAAGTGTGCAGCCCTGCTGTTAAGGGGCGTTGGGAGATTTCCCCTAACAGAAACGTGGAGGAAGTATTTCCAGACAAAAAGAAGGGAAGTTCATTTGCATGTGGACTTCTGCAGACATTGTTACGCTTTCCCTGCGACCATCTTCTGGAGCCGTGCAGTGTCAGTCACTCCCCCCCCCCCCCACACACACAAAATGTCTGTTTCCTTGCAGAAAGGCATGGGAGGGGAGGAATTCTTCGAGAGCATTGGGGAGTGGGGGGGGGGGGGGGGAGGGAGGGGAGGTTGGTAACTGTGAAGGACCAAAAAGAGCCTGGGCCTGTCTCTTCTATAGGCATAGAATTTGGGGAAAGAAGGCACAGGGATCGGAGCCACAGAACTTGGGGGACCTTATTGGGCCTCATTTAAAGATGTCCTATTTGTTAGCCAAGCGCCAGTGGCTCTTGCCTGTAATCCCAGCTACTCAAGAAGCTGAGATCTGAGGATCACAGTTCAAAGCCAACCTGGGCAGAAAAGTCTACCAGACTCAGCTCCAATGAACCACCAAAAAGCTGGAAGTGGAGCTGGCTCAAGTGGTAGAGCGCCAGCCTTGGGTACAAAAGTTCAGGGACAGGGCCCAGGCCCGAGGTCAAGTCCCGGGGGGGGAGGGGGAGGCGGGCAGGCCTGGGGGGGGGGGGGACCTCGAGGTGCCGGCGCCGCCTGCCGGCACAGGAGGCGGAGAAGCCCGCGGGGCGGACCTGCCTCTGGGGTCCGATCGGACCCCGTCCCCGCGAGCGGCCCTGGATCTCCCGAAGTCCCAGCCACACGGACGGGGCGGCATGGACGGGACGGACGGGGCGGCTTCCTATCCTCGCCCTCCCCCCCCCCCCCCGGCCGTGGCCGGCCGCACACACCGGGCCCGGGAGCCCGGGAGCACCGAGCCGCGGCTGCGCGGGCAGCGCCAGCGCCCCGGAGCGAGGGACCCGAGGGAGACGACGGCGCCAGTCCAGGCCCCGCACCTCCAAGGCCGGGGGACCCTGGTTCCGGCCTCCCGCGCCCCAGGCCCCCACCTCGGCGCCGGGAAGCCCCAGCACCGCTCGCTCCAGGCCGCGCGCCCCAGGCCCCGGATCTCCAAGCCCCTTAAATCCCGACACCCCTCCTCCGTTCCCGCCCGCACCCCCGGGTCCCGTCCCTTCGATTTCGCCCGGGCCTCGGCCCCCGGTTCCCACCCACGTCCCCGGGCCCCGTAGCCCCCGTCCCCGCCGCGCCCCCGGGCCCCGTTCCGCCGGTTCCCGCCGCTCTCCGTCCCCCCGATCCCGCACGCGCCCCAGGGCCCCATCCCTTCGATTTCGCCCGGGCCTCGTCTCCCCATTCCCGCCCGCGCTCCCCGGACCCCGTTCCCCGTTCCCCCCCGGATCCCGTCCTCCGTTCCCGCCTGCGGCCCCGGGGCCCGTGTCCCCGATCCCGCCCGGGCCCCGTCCCTCGTTCCCACCGTGCGCCGCCCCGCCCCGCGCACTCACCGGCGGCTCGCGTACGCCCCGCCCGGGGAGCCGGCGGCCGGCTCGGGGTAGCCGTGCTGCGGCAGCGCGGCGGCCGGGAACGGGTAGAGGAAGCCGGTGGCCAGCGCCGACCCCCACAGGCAGCCGCACGCCCAGGGCAGGAGCAGGGCCAGCTTCATCTTGCGCCGCCGCCGCCGCGCGCGGACCGGGGGTCCCGGAGCGCACGGGTGGCCCGGACCGAGCCCGCGGCCCCGGCCTGCCGAGAGCGGAGGAGCGAGCCCTGGTCCGCGGGGAGCGGGCGCGCGCTCCGGGGCCGCCTTTTCAAATTCGGGGAGGTGGGCGCTGCGCCGTCAGAGGGGGCGTGGTGGGCTCGGCCCTTAACCCTCGGCGGCCCGGGGCCCAGCGGGCGCCGTCGCCGCGCGCGGGACCGGGGGGGGGGTGCGGGGGGCGGGAGCCCCGACCTCCAGGCTCGGCCCCAGCCCCCGGGTCCGCACCTCCTCCCGGCTCGCGGTTTCCCCTCTCCAACCGGGGGCAATCATCCCCGTAGTTCAGAGGTGGAAACTGAGGCTCGAGCGAATGCCGTGGAGCTGGAGAGGGGGGCACACGCGCCCCTCTGCGCAGGAGTCTCTGGGTCACAGCATGGCAGTAGTGGGGACAGCTGGCGGCCAGGGGGCTCCCCGTTCGCCCACACCTCGCCACGCATCCATCCTGCCGTGTGCGTGTGTGTGTGTGTGCGTGTGTGTGTGCGTGTGTGTGTGTGTGTGTGTGTGTGTGCGTGTGTGTGTGTGTGTGTGTGTGTGTCCTGGGGCCTGAACTCAGGGCCTGGGCCCCCCGTCCCCGAGCTTTTTAACTCAAGGCTGGAGCTCTACCACTTGAACCACGCCTCCACTTAAGGTGGAGTTTTTGTTTGTTTGCTTGTTTTGTTTTTTGCTGGTTCATTGGAAATAAGAATCTCCTGGGCTTTCCTGCTCTGGGCTGGCTTGGGACCCCGAGCCTCGGCCTCGTGCGTAGCTGAGACCATTGGCGTGAGCCACCCTGGTGTCCGTCCCCACTTCTAGGTTCTGATTTTTGAGACAGGATCGGCGAGCTCAGCCTCCCGACTTGGTGGGCGGGATTACAGGCGTGGGCCACCACACCAGCTTCACAGGTTATCCTAAACTCATTCCTCCAGCGCCACAGGCTACCCACCACGCTGGACAAGTGAGGGATGACACAATGCCACCCAGCTCATGCCTGTTTTAGGGCAAAGGTGCTTAGAGAAAGAATAAAGAACATTCCCGAAACTTCAGGACTGCTCTGGGTCTGGCCCTAGTGGTCTCGTCTTGGACAATAGCTTCATGCTGGCCAGCGGACAGGTAGAGGGTGAATTCTGTGTGCCTGCCACTCGCTGAAGGACCCGAATGAGCCAGTCGCATCCAGTATTTGGTGCCACACTCAATAAGTATTAAAGATGATTAACTTTGCCAGGACTTCGGTGAAAGGTGAAGGACGCCAAACATCTTTATCCGTGGGGGCGTGGCTTACACGAAAGGGGCGTGGCCCAAGGCTTCTAAAAGCAACGTGCCTTAAGCTGAGGAGCGTGGTTTGCTGTGGTGGGCGTGGCTTGCGAGGATGGGGGGGGGGTCTGCTGGGCGGGGGGGGGGGGGGGGGAGGAGTGGCTCGAGTGTTAGCAGCTTGGTTCAAATGGTCTGCCAGGCAAGCCAAGAGACCCAGAGTTCAAACTCCAATACTACAGGGGAAACAAAGTTTTAATTAAAAAAGAAAAAAAATAAAACATCGAAGTGAAACCAGCCAATAGGGCTCAATAGTCTGGAATAGTTGCTACTTTCTCAGAGGACAAAACTGTATATTTTACTGCGTGGTCAAAGATTTAAATATATTTTAAAACAAACAGCACCAGCACTGGGTGGAAGGTGTAATTTGCATTCCTTCAAAGATAAAGTATGCAGCCAGTGGGTGCTGAGTGAGAAAATTCCTTGCTGGTGTTGCTACAGCTGCCGCCTCCACCCCCGCAGCTCTGCCCCAGAGGCCTCTGCTCCATTCTCCACACATGTGCCTGTCTATTTCCAATCTTGTGCCCTTGCCATCCTGATTACACATGGAAACTTCCAGAGAAGCGGAAGCCTGTGCTCCTCTGAGAAATACAGCATCAGATGTTTGGAGATGGAGCTGGGCACTGATGGCTCACGCCTGGAATCCTAGCTACTCAGGAAGCTGAGGTCTGAGGATCAGGGTTCAAAGCCAGTCTGGATTGGAAAGTCCATATGGCTATCATCTCCACTAAACCACCAGAAAACCAGAAGTGGAGCTGTGGCTCAAAGTGGTAGAGCACTACCTTTGAATGAAAAAGCTCAGGGACAGTGCCTAGGCCCTGAGTTCAAGCCCCATGATCAACAACAACACAACATTTAGAGATGGAGCAGGGCACCAGAGACTCTATCGACTCCAGGAAGCTGAGATCTGATGATCATGGTTTGAGGCTAGCCCAGAGAGAGAAGCCCACGAGACTCTTATATTCAATCAACCAGCAAAAAGCCAGGCTGGAGGCCTGGATCCAATGATAGAACATCAGCGGAGCAAGCACAAGGCCCTGAATTTAAACCCATACACTAATGGAAATGAAAACATTAATTAGTTAATGCAATGTTGGAACCCAGGGCCTTGTGCATGCTATGACCACACACTGCCACAGAAACCCACCCCCAGCTAGGATTTTTTATTTTATTTATTTTTTTATTTATTTTTGTCCTGGGGCTTGAACTCTGGGGCTGGGCGCTGTTCCTCAGCTCTTTGGCTCAAGGCTAGTGCTCTACCACTTGAGCCACAGCGCCACTTCCGGCTTTTTCTGCTTATGTGGTGCTGAGGAATTGAACCCAGGGCCTCTTGCATACAAGGCAAACACTCTACCTCTGAGCCACCTTCTCAGCCCTTGGATTCAGACTGCTTGATGATACACAGGCAAAGCATCCTCAGAGCATCTTTGCCAGCATGGTATCTGCAGGCCTTTCTGATAAAATCTTAATCAGTGCCCCATCCACAGACAAAAGACAGAGCTTTGCTTCCGCAGCAGTCAGCAGAAAGAAACACTGGACATGGAAGTACATATGCACCAGGCTGAGGCCAAGGCAAATATTGACCTCTTGGTGTAATAAATCTTCCTGTTAATGTAAAACAGGGGTCCTCCCACCCCCAGGCTCAGTACGTAGCTCCAGACTACCCGCAGAGGCAGGGATCCTGCAATTCTCCATGAATTCAAGGGAGGTAGAGGCAGGCATGGTGCCATTTCCATACAGGGCCCTCCTAAAGCCCGGGTCACAGCTGTGTGGGGTCTGTACAGACGAAAGTGTAAGGAGCCAGTCTGTCACCACCACAAGGGCTGCTTTGTATGGCTCAAGCTTTTTGTCCTTTGCCAGGACTAAATGCAGACAGAATGAATGTAGCTGTCAAGGGAGATCCTGACTGAATTTTCCTTTTCACCTGGACTTCCCAGATTCCACGCAGCCTCATCAAAGTGACTGCATGTTGCAGGGTGCGGGTGGCTCACGCCTGTAATTCTAGCTACTCAGGAGGCTGAGGGCTGAGGATGGAGGTTCAAAGCCAGTCCAGGCAAGAAAGTCCCTGAGATTTTTTTTTTTTTGGGTCCGGTCGTGGAGCCTGAACTCTGGGCCTGGGCGCTGTCCCTCAGCTCTTCAGCTCAAGGCAAACACTCTACCACTTGAGCCACAGCGTCACTTCCGGCTTTTTTCTTTTTGCTTATGTGGTGCTGAGGAATCGAACCCAGGGCCTCAGGCATGCAAGGCAAGCGCTCTACCACTGAGCCACCTTCCCAGCCCTCCTTAAGATTCTTTTTTTTTTTTTTTTGTAGGTCGTGGGGCTTGAACTCTGGGCCTGGGCGCTGCCTCAGCTCTTCAGCTCAAGGCGAGCGCTCTACCACTTGAGCTACGGCGCCACTTCCGGTTTTCTGGTGGTTTATTGGAGATAGGAGTCTCGCGGTCTTTCCTGCCCAGGCTGGCTTTGAACCGCAATCCTCAGATCTCAGCCTCCTGAGTAGCTAGGATTACAGGCGTGAGCCCAGCTTCCTTGAGATTCTTATCTCCAATTAACCACCAGAAAACTAGAAGTGGCACTGTAGCTTAAGAGGTAGAGCACTGGCCTGGAGCTAAAGAGCTCAGGGACAGTGCCCAGGGCCAGAATTCAAGCCCCTTGACAGACAAAACAAAACAAGATCACTTGGGAATTGGCAATGAGTGGAATGGGGGGGGGGGGTGAGGGAGGAATGGTGTAGAGGAAGGGGCTAGTCCCTGCAAGCTGATTTCACTGTCAGGCCAGCTTTCTTCCCCGTGTGACTGTATCTTCTGGGACCCCACAGCCAGTGCGTCCTTGTGTCTCGCTTTGCAGTATTCCCCGGATTCATAACGCGTTCCATATGACCATAAGAATGGCCCGCGGTCATTTGGCCAAAGCTGTGTGTCTCCGTGTCTTTTGACATGCTCCTCTGCAAATGAAATTCTCATTTTCATGGTCTCTGTCACAAACGATTTGATGCATTCCCTCCGCTATTTCCAAAGCCTCCGGTAAGGATCTCTTGGCAATAAGAATCTGCCAAACATCTCAAGCTGATGTCAGGCATGCTGCCACACTGAGGGCCCCCCTTTTCCAGGGGACATAGGCCCAGCCCTTGTGCCTATGGCACTGGGTGGCTCTCTCCCTGAGCTTGTCCTGGAACACACCTTAGTGTTGAGTGCCCTGCGCTTTCTGCACACCCTGGATGTGGCCAAGGCTGAACATGAGTTTGGTGGTTATGAGATTTTTCCTGCTGGGTGTCAAAGAGCACAGCTGTAATTCCAGCTACTCAGGAGGCTGAGATCTAAAGTTTGAAGTTTGAAGCCAGCCAGGGAAGGGAAATCTATGAGACTCTTATCTCAAATTAGCCAGCAAAGAGCCAGAAATGGAGCTGTGGCTCAAGTGGTAGAGCTCCAGCCTTGAGCAAAATAAAGCTCAGGGATAGGGCCCAGGTCATGAGGTCAAGCCCCAGTACCAGCACACACACACACACACACACACACACACTAGCAGGTTACAAACCATTTTGTGAGCATTTCCATCTCTGAGAACTAAAGTGAAAATGTTCAAATCTCAGTATTATACGGGAGGTGGATGAAAGGAATTTTTATCGTCT